TAGCACTATGGATTTTAAGTGACCTAGCAGTTGTTGGACTATATTTGTAACCAGTCTTCAACGAATGGTTCAAGAATTTAAAATTCCATCTACACATGTTTAATTAGTGTATGAACACGTACCTCTTTTGTTCCTTTAAGATTCAAGCCTTCATGCCAATCAGGTCCCAAGGCACTGCCCATATTGCCAGCACTACCTTTGGTTTGTGCTTCCTTTTTTCTTCCTGAAAAGATAAAACTCCATTCAAAATTCAAATGATATAAAAACTTCCAGGCAAAGAAGTATACTTGTGTTCTCAAGCTTTTAGGCAATGTCATGATTCTCATATATAGCATAAACTAACTTATCAGTATTGTTTTAATATTTTGTGATATAGAGCTATAGAACAGGTAATTTTTCAATCAAGTGTTGAATATAAACCATACTAAATACATGGTCAATATGAAGGGTGAGATCTGATAAAAGGTTGATATCCAAAATGTATAAAGAACTCCTACAACTTGGTAACACAACCAAAATAAAAAACAGGCTGAGGACCTGAACATTTTTCCAAAGACATACAGATGGCTAACAAGGACATAAAAAAGTGTTCAAAATCACTAGTCAGAGAAGTACAAATCAAAACTACAATGAGATAGATCACCTTACACCTGCCAGAATGGCTAGAATCAAAAAGCAAGAAATTACAAGTGTTGGCAAGGATGTAGAGAAACAAGATACCTCGTGTACGGTTGGTGGGAATCCAAATTGGTACAGCCACTATGAAAAACAGTATGGAGGTTCCTCAAAAAATTATCAGAATTACCACATGATCTGGTAACTCCAGTACTGGGAATTTACACAAAGGAAATGAAAACACTAATTCAAAAAGATGTTCCCCTATGTGAACTTGCATAATTTACAACCAAGATAAAGAATCAACTCAAGTGTCCACTGACAGACTTATGGATAAAGAAGATGTGGTGTGCATGTGTATGTGTACACACACATACACACAATGGAATATTACTCCACCAGGAAAAAGAATGAGATCTTACCATCTGCAACATGGATGGACCTAGAGGAGATTCTGCTAAGTGAAATAACTCAGAGAAGGACAAGTACCGTATGATTTCACTCATACGTAGAATTTAGGAAACAAAGAAAAAGGAGACTCAAAAAAACCCACTCAAAAACTGAGAACGGGGGGTTGCCAGAGGGGAGGTGGGTGAAGGGATGTGTGTGTGGAACAAGGGGGATTAAGAGTGTACTTATCATGATGAGCAGAGTAATGTATAGAATTGTTGAATCATTTTACTGTATACCTGAAAATAATAGAACACTGTATGTTAATTATACTTCAATAAAAATTTTACAATAAATGCAGGCAAGTTAAGCTAGAAAAATAATTAAAAAAAAAAACCTCAAAACACAGCAGAAGCAGACTCCGATATAGAGAATAAACTGGTGGTTGCCACAGGGGAGGGAACTGGTGCACAGGATAAACAGGTGAACAGGATTAAGAAGTATGAACTTCCAGTTATAAGTCATGGGGATATAAAGTACACCATAGGAAATATAGTCAATACTGTAATAACTTGGTACAGTGACAAACGGTAACTAAACCTACAGAGGTGATCATGTCATAATGTATAAAAATACTGAATCACTATTGTACATCTGAAACTAATATATGTGAGTTATAATTCAATTAAACAATTAGCCAGCAGTTTTTAAACATTTTGCCAACTTTTAGCACCCTCAACACTTACAGAATTTTTTGAATTTTATAAGCCAAAAGTTAAAAATTTTAAAAAGCCTCTTAAATAAAAATCTAGGTTTGTATTTCCTTTTTAACTCATTGCATTTTTTTTTTTTTTTTTTTTTTTTTTTTTTTTGTAAAATTACCGAAGGTGCTGTCCAGTTGTACCACCTGTTTGCAAAGATGCAGATGGGCTGGTTTATTTAATTCACTTTAAATTTCCAGTCTTAATTATACACAGTTTTCATTAAAAAAAAAAAGTCCTGGATAGGAGCTCCTAGATGGCTCAGTTGGTTAGGCATCCAACTTTTGGTTCTATCTCAGGTCATAATCTCAGGGTTTGTGGGCTTGAGTCCTGCACTGGGCTCTGCACTCACAGCCAGAGCCTGTTTGGGATTCCCTTTCTCTCTCTCTCCTTCCCTATTTCTCTCTGCCCCTGCCCCATCCGTGCTCTCTCCCTCTCAAAATAAATAAACTTTGAAAAAAAAAAAAAATCCTTGAAAGTCTAAATCTTGTGTATGGAGACAGGAAATAAATATTATCTATGTATCTGTCTCTCAACTGTAGTATTTTTACTCCATGTTCTTATAGCCTTTTTCTATACAGCTAAGAAACAGTTTCATCTGTGAATTAATGAATAGATGCTATACTTACCTTCAGTTGTATATCTGGTTCTTTTATGTGCAATTTTAGCCTCTGGTTTTTCAGCAATGAGCTTTGAAGTCAAGAATTCAGCTGCACCTGCATCGAAGAAAGTATTCCCAATGGCTTTGTCTTTAATGGCCCAAATGACTTCACAGCCTTCAATTTCATACCTAAAAGGAATAAAGTTACTCAGAGCAATTTAAGAAGTCTGAGTAGGAATCTTTTTTCTTTTTTTTTTTTTGTAAATAACAATTTTCTCCAAAGGTAAAAGAAAGTGTTTTAAGGCAAACAGAAATAAGGAAGAATGTAATACTCTTTCAGGATAATAAGAGCTAAAGTAGAATAAACAATAAATTTATCCAGTTTATTTGAAAGAACATAAAAATGACAAGCATGTGTAACTGAGTATCAAATAAAATTTCATTACAATGAGCATTGCTTCTAAGGGTTCAATTTCTCCAACAGTTACTATACGAATGTTCCCCACGGTTCCCAGGAGTGAGCAGTGCTTTGTTGATGTGGTTATAGTGTAATCAATAATGGATGAATGGATCCATGGTATATGGTTACAGTATTGACAATAGCATACTCTTTGGTAACAAATATTTTGTGTACTCAAAGGAGAGAATCAGAGTTATTAACTACAATTTTAACTTTGTTATAAAGGAACCATTACCCTGCAATCCCTTCCCTTCACCTCAATAATTTCTAAGCCATTCAGCCGAAGAAAGATCCGGTTCACAGAAAAATCAAGAAAGAGCAGAATGGCCATGGTGTGTACAGGCCATCACCACTAATGAGACAGCCGGAGCTCCTGGGGATCTGCTGTTTTATCTCTACGTTTAGTCACAGAGAATGTGGTTTGCTTAGTATTCATTTCACTAAGTCCCTGAAGTCCATTATATTTTTCTGCTATTATTACTTGTTTTGGTACAATTGATGAACTGAGACCATCCACGATAAACAGGATATATGGTCATCCTAATTATACTAGGACTTTATCAGAATCTATAGAGGTAATAAGAGTATTATGTGTTAAGAACTTTTAACATTTACTTGTGGTACAAAGTACTGCCATGTTTATTTCACAGACTGCTACAATGTAACACATTAACTTCTCAATAAATAAATGATTCAAACTAATCAGTAAATAAATGATAGAAAAAAAGGTTTAGTACATCTGATTTCAGGTCACCTGACATTCATGCTTTGTGACAATTGCTCCCTTACCGCAGAAAAAAATATTTAGTTACTAAATTTCAGATTATTTGGTGAATATTCTATGTTGCTCAGATCACATAGGATTGCTGATGAGCAGAAAGTAGAATACAGATTCAGTAATAAATTTCATATTTTAATTTACATATAGGCACATAGTTATTATGAAACACTTTCCTTAGTTTTTATTAAGAAACTCCTCTACCATTTTTTTTAAATTTTAAAGCAATATAATAGTATAACACAGTATCAATATATTTTAAAATACTAATGCTTGACTAGTAGGCCACCCACAATTATAAGTAACCGCGAGTAACATCTATACACGTCCTACCTCACAAGATGCCCTTAGACTATGAACCATGCCCTCAGCGAGATACATTACCATGGAGGTAGTATCACATATATAGTAGAAATACTTTCATTTTTAAAACCACTTTTAAAAAATAAACAGTGAAGTATTATGGTTTTTTGAAATCATTAAAAAAATGTCTGAAAAGAAAAGATTAACCTACACTAGTAAAGAAGAAAACAGAGGTAGTAATTGAAATAAAAGTACACTGAAGAAAATCAGCATTAGCCTCAAGGGAACACAAGGGCTATTAAAGAGCAAAAAGGGCATTTTTCACCATGAGATGATAAACACCTGATCATTCAGTGGACCTAAGCTGAGACAATCGCATTATATGCAGCCTTTCTTAAACTATCAGAGTTTATTCAATATAAAATTATAAGCTTTGTCCAATTATATAGTCTTACATCTCCAACCTCAAGAAAATGAGGAATAGGATTACATGTTTTAAGACTGAGCATTTCTGAATGCAAGAAAATTTTCCAGTGTAAATAATAGTATTCAGTTACACTTTTGGTGATAGCTGATGGAGAAAATTTGTCATGTGCCTCCTTCTTAGACCTGTTTGATTTTGAATCTCCAGTTTTTTCTATGTTCTCCATACAGTGCCATAAATTTCATAATTAGAAGAATGATTGCCATCTCTAGTACTCAGGCAATCTAGGAACTCTTAGAAGCTTCCACTGGGAATCACCATCCTGTCAAAAAGAAGAGCAAAAACCTAGTCTGCGAATAGGAATGGACAAAGCTTTGGCAAATTCATTACTTTGATTCAAATTTGTCCTCTTTGTAGTTGGACTCAACTTTCTGCCCTAAAAATGTCCAGACTATTCCATCTCAGCCATCCAATGGAAGATAAAATCATAAAGAAAATGAATGCTCTGTAGACCATAGCAGGATATTTATTCCTCAGTGTTCTTTAAACTTGAAATATCATTTTAAGATAGTATTTCACATTAATTGATGGGTTCACATTTTTCAACTTCCAAAAAAACAAGAGCTGGGAGTACCACATCTTGAAATAGGGAGTCAAACACACTGTGGGTTTCATGGGCCCAACAGGTAGCATTATAAATGAATGAAGCAGGATGGGTGTAAACAATACAACAGGTAGATACTGTGACTAGAAATCTCTAAAGGTGTGCACATTTAAATTGTTTTTCAATATAGTACATGCCTACCAAACACATGTATGGATCACATCTGTCCAGTCACCTGTGACCCCTTGAGACCTAAAACCTTCCCTAAACTCATGTTTTACAATGACATTTCTACAACTATGAATTCCATGAAGCTAAAAATATAAAATGGATTTTTTTCTCCTTGAAAATCTATGAAAAACAGTTCTATTTATCTTTGAATTTCAGAACAGGATGTTTTCTAGTCTGCCAACAATTATGAGTCATAGAGTAGTGTTTAAATGATATTTAAAAATATATACTTACACTAGTTCAAGTGCAATGCCACCATTCCCTATGATCATTATTCTTTTGGCTTTAGTAAGCTGTTTCTGAAATTCCTATATTAAAAAGAAAATGAGATAGTGTTTTGTAATAGTGGGCAATACTTGAAGAAAGGCTTCACTGATAATGTTCTTAAAATTGTACGAATTTTACCTGATTTACAAAGGAACAAAAATCTCACTTTCACACTCTGCCAGGACACACCCTCCCAATATTACAAATGTTTTCCTCTATCTGTCACACAAACTGCCTTTATAGCAATGCCTCTTATGATTTGACTTTTTACGTCATTACATCTAGAGTACTTCAGAATTGCAGCAAGAGGCACTAGCTCTAGTTCATCACATTCTGAACTACTTGATCAAACCAACTTACTAACATGACACTGATCTGTATACATACAGGGTTATTCCTTTTCTTCTAGTCTGTCAGTTGGCACTTCCCTGGACTCACTCAACACCGAAACTTACAGGAATGAGAAGCACAACAGCTTGGTGGTTAAGAGTCCCTGGAGTTACTAACTTCCCCCAGTTAGTAACTTGGCCAAGTTGCTTAACCCTTCTGTGCCTCAGCTTCTTCAATATAAATGGAAACAAAAAGTGACTGTACTTCATTACGTCTCTGTAAGCATTAGGATAATGTAAATAAAGCTGTTAAGAGCAGGCACGATAATGTCTAAATTAAAAAAAAAAATGCTACTTTCTTATCATAAGACAATTAATTGATGGCTCTACCCCCCTCTTCTGCCCCCTAAAAAAAATTATCACAATGAGCTTAGGGAAGCCACGGTCATTTTTATGGCACTTTTATAAGTACAGAATAGTCCCACTGGATCAGGATGACATCTCAATAGCTAAATTTCCTCTTCCTACCATGTCAAGTTACCATTTCTATTAAATTCACCCAAAAACTTATTGTAATATTCAATAAATAATCACTGAAACTCACTGGCTTAAAATTCTACCAGAAAAAAAAAACATTAAGTTAATTTCAGTCAGCCTTTCTCTGAGGACAGTAAATAAGAAAGATCTGTTAAAAGCACTGGATGTGGAGATGAATGGCGTAAGTTTATGTTGTACTTCTGATAACAGCTATTTAAGTATAGGTAAATAATCTATTAGAGTTTGCTATTTGTAAATTGGGAGTAATACTGTCACACAGTATTATCATAAGCAGTCAGTGAATTCATGTATGTAGGCAGCCTCGCTGGAATACAGCTATGCTCATGGTTTGTAGGATCGAGCCCCATGTTGGGCTCTGCACTGACAGCACAGAGCCTACTTGGGATTTTCTTTCCTTCTCTCCCTGCCACTCATCTGCTCACACACACACACTCTCTCACTCTCTCTCTCTCAAAATAATAAGCTTTAAAAAAGTTTTAAATTAAGAAAGATTGAAAGAAAACATCAATTTCAAGAATATAAAATATTATTAGTATACATAAAATTATCACCTTAGGGACAGAACTACAACAATAAGCTACAGGTAAGACAAAGTATTATGACTGGAAACCAGGAAGAGCTTCTTGGCAAGAAGGGTCAATAAACCCTGAAGCCCTGCAATAAATTATCAGAAGAAGTTGTAGAAGGTTCCACACAGTTTTCACCTTATTGGGACAGTTTACTATGGTTCTTGAGCAGAACAATAAACCAAATGAATTTTTTAGTTCTGGGATTCTGTCATGATTCTGGACCACAAAGATCTGAATATTAATTTCTTTGCTAAGGAGTACAGTAAGTTTGGGATATGCCTTACCTTTGTGGAAAAAGATTGCTACATTATTTAGGCTACAAATCACTATTCCCAATCAAAATACAGTAATGAATGTGTGTATAAGTTAAGTTATAACCTTCAGCTTAGTCATTATATCTGGGATAGTGCACAATGGAAAGAACACACAACATCAGCATGGGACTAAAAACAGGAAAAATTATCAGCTACAACCAAACTGAAATTGGCAATAATAAAACATTATAACTATTTTCTGGTTTGTGGATCACAAACCAGAAATTTAATTAAGAATTTAACTAAATTTAATTTAAGAATTAACACTGTAAGTGGAATACTTTGATTCAAATAAAGGAAGTCTATGAAATATTCATGTTCCTTTCCCATGGCCCCATCTCAGAATGTTACCTGAGCACGTGGCCCCATCTCAGAATGTTACCTGAGCACTGTCTGTATCACGGATTCCTAATACATAAGGATTTCCTTCACATATCAACTTTGGCTTAGCTCCAGCACACAGACAGAGTTTCTTATATACATGCTGACTGCCATCTCCTGTTAAAATGCACTGTAAAAACAGGGCAAGGAAGGGGAGAGGAGAAACATATTTATACATGGGTACAGTTTCATTTTAAATACAAAATTCAGTAAGACAAAAGCAAAAAAATACATTAAGGTTGCCTCTTGGTGGCACTCAATACGTTGTCACAGCAATTGCAAATCAGAGTAAACATGAGAATGCATTCTCCAACCCAGTGATTCACCATCATTTTAGGGCCATGAACCATTTTGAGAATCTAGGGCAAAACAGTCTTTCTTCCCTGGAAAAAAAACATACATTCACACCAGATTTTGCCTAAAACTTAGGGAATCTTATTATATTCAGAGGGGTATGTTGACCTCAGGTTAAAAACTAAACATTCAGAAATTTTTAAATCAAGCATTCTGATCATATTATACCTGAGGTAGGCCTTAATATTTCTGATCTCAATGGAAGTTACTGTAGGAAGATCTAATAATTCTAATGGCATCATACCTTAATATTTGTTATGGGTACAGAGGAGTACAGTGCGGTAAAAAAGGTTACATTATGTCTTCTTAATCTAAAAATATTAAAAGTGTTTGGGAAGCTTGGGTGGCTCAGTCTGTTAAGTACTTGACTCTTGATTTTGGCTCAGGGTCATGATTCCGGTGTCATGAGATCAAGCCCCGTGTCAGGTTCTGTGCTGAGCATAGATTCTAAGAATCTCAATGTCTCAATCTCTCTCTCCCCCACTCTACCTCCCCAGTTTGCACGTGCATGCATTCTTCTTAAGCACAAATAACAATCACCTAACCACAAACAAATGTTCTTTGGGGATATTTTCATATTAAGTGAAAAACATATTAACCTTAAATCCTAACATGTACTAGCTTTTAAAGTCATTTATATTAATTTTTAATAATATTATTGAGTCTAAAAATATGTATTTGTGATCCATTGTTTTTATTCTTTTTTTTTTTTTTTAATTTTTTTTTTCAACGTTTTTATTTTTTATTTTTGGGACAGAGAGAGACAGAGCATGAACGGGGGAGGGGCAGAGAGAGAGGGAGACACAGAATCGGAAACAGGCTCCAGGCTCTGAGCCATCAGCCCAGAGCCTGACGCGGGGCTCGAACTCACGGACCGCAAGATCGTGACCTGGCTGAAGTCAGACGCTTAAATGACTGCGCCACCCAGGCGCCCCCATTGTTTTTATTCTTTAAAATCAAATGGAAATCTGCACATAAGTAGGAGCTTTTAATAAGCATATATGTATGTGTATGTATATATACACACACATGTGACTATGACACAAGACTTTGTTGGAATGGTTTAGAGATTAACACTGTGACATGTGTTTGATTTATAAAACATAGCAAATCATAAGATAGCACTTGATACCCACTGAGCCATTTGTTACCCACTGTAACTCTTCAGCTGCATAACAAATACATAAAACTGATAATTCAACACAGTATAACGCATACAGAAATTCTATGCAGTTCTTTCTGAAGATAATGTAATGTGGTGGGAATTTTATCTGACAAACAGCAATTAACAGACACTGACCAAATTTAAAAAATAATTTACATTTTATGTTGTAAAAACAAACACAAAAGCTCCTTTCATTGGCTACTGCTAAATTTTTGGAAGTAGACATGAAGATAAAACACACAATCTCTAATTCATCAAAGAATATAAAGGACAAATAAGAGAATACACACATGAGCTCATACAGGACACTTCAAATGGTAATGGGTGGCATTCGGATTTATTCAAATGCCCTAATATAAATTCCCTCACAATTTATTAGTCTAGATTTGAGCCCACCTCAATTTACAAATTAACGGACATGGATGTTATATAGGATATGTACTACTGTAAATGTTAGAAATTTATTCCAGTTTTGGGATTCAGATTATTTTTTTCTCATAAAATTTAGTCCTTTTTCTTATTTTTTTACTGTCAAATTATTTGTGTTTCAAATGTATTATGTATGTGTTTTCTCCATAAGGGTGAAAAATTAGAGCTGCTGTAGAGAAACAACTAGAAACCCTACTTCTCATCTTGCCTAAAGCTCACCTGAGGATATTGTTAATCATCTGACAACACGTTTCCTTCGACTGCCTTATTCATTCCCACATCCAATGGGTTACTGAGTCCTGCTAAGTTTACAGGAGAAATCTCACTCATATCTGCGCTATTCTTTCCAAATACACAGTTCTTGTCTTCGTTCAGGCCTTCTATCAGTTTGGACTATTGCAACCACCTTCTGGTTTGGTTGCTGGACACTATCACTCACTCCACCCCATTTCATCCTCAACACTGGTATCAGATCTGTCTTCCTAAAAGAATATATTACCATCCCTGCCTCCACTTTATTTCTCCACTGACTGTAAAATAAATCATCTTGGCATGATGTAAACAGCTCTTCACAGTCCTATTTGTTTGCCCTAGTCTGCCAATCTCCTCTCTTTATCTCCACCACAGTACCTCTGACGATGGTATTCTTCCACGTGCTGCTTTTCTATGGGTTTCTGAACAAGCAACCTCGTTTTCCTACAATGTCCTTAATTAAGAACTCTTAATTCACCTTTTAAACCCAGTTCAAACATTTTCTCCTTCTGTGAGGTCCTCCAAAATCCCTAATATCAGAGCTTTGATAATACTTCAGTGACTGTGCTTTTCACATGTATATATAATTAATACATGTGCATGTCTATATTCCCTATGACAATGAGACCTCCCAGGCCAAGTTCACTGTAATGTTCCTGTTGTATACCAGCACTTATTGCAGTGCCCAGAACACAACAGACACTATGTAAATGTTAATGCTAATTTGAAATGTAAAACCTAAAATGTTAAATCAAACTAATTATATAATCCCAATAAATTCAGAAAAAGTATAAATTTTCCTAATAAAAAGAAATCAGTGTTACTAAACTTTATATGCTAGGAACCTTAGTAGTGGTGGGGGTACAGATGGGTTCAAAAGAAAGCAGGGAAAGCTCATCAATATTTAACAATGGATCATCATTAAGAAAAACATCTTCTAGGGGTGCCTGGGTGACTCAGTCAGTTGGGTGTCCAACTTCAGCTCGGGTCATGATCTTGTAGTTCGTGGATTCGAGCCCCATGTCGGGCTCTGCACTGACAGCTCAGAGCCTGGAGCCTGCTTTGGATTCTATGGCCCCCTCTCTCTCCGCCCCTCCCCTGCTGTGCTCTGCCTCTCTCTCTCAAAAATAAACAAACATTTAACAAAATTAAAAAAAAAAACAAACAAAACTTCTTACATGTTCTTTACTCTTCAGTTGCTTTACTCCGGATTCTATAACCTTAATGTTGGGAAAGCGATTTTCTAACATGGTATTTGGTTGCTCTTCAACATCAAATTCCTCCAATACTTTAGAAACCTGTATTAAATCAAAAAGGTGAAAATGTAAATTTTCAAAAAAATATTTCCTTTTAAGAATTTTAAAACTTTTTTTTTTTTTAACGTTTATTTATTTTGGGGACAGAGAGAGACAGAGCATGAACGGGGGAGGGGCAGAGAGAGAGGGAGACACAGAATCGGAAACAGGCTCCAGGCTCTGAGCCATCAGCCCAGAGCCTGACGCGGGGCTCGAACTCACGGACCGCGAGATCGTGACCTGGCTGAAGTCGGACGCTTAACCGACTGCGCCACCCAGGCGCCCCTAAAACATTTCTTAATTCACTTAAGAATAGATCCAATACATGTTAAACAGATATAATATCCTTTTAATAAGAGTAATTTTTTTTTCCAAAACAAATTAAGTGAGAAGAATGGCAGTTTTGCATTTTTACAAATGTCTTTAATATCCGGTCTTAATAGATCTGCTTTTGCATTCAAACTGCTTCCATACTCTGCATCTGCATTCAAACTATTGCAGTATGTTAATTTGGTTAAAATTAATGAAGACAGTTCAGGCTGACAGAGATGTGCAGCCTTTTTAGAGAATTGTATATTCTTCTTTGATGTTATACTAAAACTCAACAAGTGTGGTTTCTTAAAGATTAGTTGCAGTGTAGAATTTGAAACCGTTATCAAAGAATTTTTCATACCCTACTACTGTGAAATCTATTGGTCTATCCTGCACTTTGGATCGTGTAACATCACATTTGTCATCTGGACAATAGTGGTTCACAAAGTTAAAGAGATCTTCCACATGTTAATTTCAACTCAATACAATATCAAAAACCACATTCATTATTGTCACCAACAATAATTTTGTTATCCTGGCAACAAATACTATCACTTGTTTTCACTCATTTTCCAAATATGAAGTTAGTTTGTCAGTTGTTCTTTCAAGTAAAATTGGTATTCCACAAAAAGGGTAATTAATTCCTCTTGCAACTCAGCAACTGCACAACTGCTTTTCCCTCCTAGCCCCATATGTGGAACAAGTGCTTTATGCATACATCCCATCTCATCACACAGAACATTAAAAAGACGTGCACTGAAGAGTCAGGATTTAATAAAATTACCATTGTTTACTGGCTTTAATTTATTTCACTGAGTGCCTGGAAGTGAAGAATACAAGACCACTAGTTCAGTTTAGCCACCAAGGCTTTTTTAAACCATCAGTGTTTATGTGTCAATGTAGTGACAAGAGTAACATCGAAGTAACATCTTCCAACCCTTGGTGATTTTTCTAAATGTTCACCATTCTAATGCTTCCCAAACACATTCCTTCCTCAGCACTCCCAGAAAATCACTTTACTTCTTGGCTCAAAGAGACTACTAAGAACTCTTATGACTTCTTTCCCACCATCTATACATTTCCGTACTACAGTCCACCTTCCATGACCCATTTCTACCTTTTCAAGGTGAATCCAGTAATCTGTGCTCTATATACCATCATCTCTCACCTCCTCAGGACTCCTTCCTTATTATGTACTCCTTGCTTTCCTTCATCTTCAGCCTTTCCTACTGGTTTCTAAATCTCAATAGGTAAACACGCTAAAGTGTCTTCCACCTTAAAAGAATAAAACTCGGGGCACCTGGGTGGCTCAGTTGGTTAAGCATGTGACTTTGGCGCAGGTCATGATCTCGTGGTTCATGAGTTCGAGCCCCACGTCGAGCTCTGTGCTGACAGGTCAGAGCCTGGAGCCTGCTTCAGATTCTGTGTCTCCCTCTCTCTGCCCCTCCCCTGCTCATGTGCTCGCTTGCTCTAAGAATAAATCAACAGTAAAAAAAAAAAAAAAAAAAAAAGAATAAAACTCAACTTAATGCTAGTCTTCACGTTCTCTATTTGCTGCCACCCTATCTCCTTTTGCAGCTAAATTTCAAAAGAGAAAAGTTTATCGTTACTGTCATTTTAGAGTTACCCTCCACTAATTTCTGAAAATGGTGTAAACTGTCTCAAAGTCACCAATAATTTACTAGATATAGGCACTTTTGAGTCATTATCTTACCTGCTATCCTTGGATCTGACACCACTGACCACTGCACTTAATTAAACTTTTGCCATCTTTGGCTTCAGGGAAACAAACTCTTCTTCTCTCATAGTTTTCCTCTCTGACTTAAGACTAATAAATAGGGTGCCCATTTTCAGGGCTTCCTTTCTCTCTGATCTTCCTTTAAATGTCGGTGTTCCATAGAACACTATTATTGGGCTCTTATCCCTGGGAAATTGCAGCCAATGCCTATGGCTGAGCTGGTACTGAGACAATGATGAATACCAACCTGTTATATCTCCAATTCAGTGTTCTCACCTGCTGAAAATGCTCCAAAAGTTTGGCATCATCTAAATTTTGGATAAAATACAATTCCACATCATAGCATACAAGCCCACCATGGTCTGCCCTCTGACTATTGGTTCAGCACTGAATTTACATTCCAGCAGAACTGAACTGATACCTATTACAACATATTATATAGTCATATACTTTCATCATCTTGGCACATGCCTGCCTCCATTCAACCTCTTGCAAACATGGCAAGACCTACTTATTCTTTCAGTCTCAGTTTCAATCCACTCTCCTATGTAAAGCCTTTCTTGATCTCAAAGGCAGGCTCTGACACTCATTCACAATATATTTATAAAAATAAATACGTATATATTGCAATACAACTGCAATTTTTTTTTTTTTGCCACTGTAAGGATAATTACCACATTATAATGATAACTTTGTCTTGCAGATTTGTTAACATTCTGAGAAAGTGCTACTCATTAACCATGAGGGTTACAGAGCCAACCTGAATTTAAAACCTATCTATACACACCTTGGAGATTTACCCAGCCTCACTGACTCATTTACCTCATCTGTAAGTGGGGATAATATAAGAACCCACTTCATAGGATTACTTTAAGGATTAAATAAGTTAATGTATTTAAAACATTTAGAAGAGTGTTTGGTACATAGCAAGTACTCCATAAATAACATGTTGTTATTAATCTTTTTTCTCCTTTAGAAATTACACATGCCATGAAAACATTTCCTTTAACATTAAACAAACAATACCTAATATAAAATAAAGTGTCCCTTTTACTCTTCCCTAAATCTCACACTACCCCACCATGACTGCCATTCCCCAACTCCAGAGATGACCATTAGTGACTTTTTGGTGTATGTTCTATACTTTCAATCTGTCTTCTGGGTGCTTAGCACACTGGCTCATACATAATATAGATGTTCAATAAATGATAAAAAGGATGCAATTTCCTACTTCTGAATATTAAGAATAACTGACATTTGCATAATGTTATTCCAATTCACTTTCACATATATTAGTATATCTTAAACTCCCAACCTCCTTCAAGTAAACAAGGAAGATACTATCCTAATATTAGAAGTGAAACAACTTAGATACAGAGATTTGCCAAGGCTACACAGCCAATAAATAACAGGTAGGCCTAGAATCCAAAACTGTTTTTCTTCTATTATACAAAATTTACAAAATCAGCAAAAATTTAAGTCAAGTCTTATAACTCTGGAATAGTCACACTGAATTAAGTCTTCCAGAAAAACACTTATAAGACACAGCCAAACATCTTTCTCTTATGTATGTGCTCCTAGCCTATAATTGATTTTTTTTTCCCATTAGAGATTAATAGCCACAATTTGTTCTCTAGTTCTCCCAATCCCTTAAGTCCTTTGGCCATACCTCAGTAGTAAGATATCTTACATATCTCTAAGAAGGTTATAAAGGAAAAACATATCACACTAAATTACCCTTGGTCTTAGGGGTTTACAACATGAGAAAGTTTTATTTTATTATCAGGATCTAAAGGAAAACTTGTATTAAAGACTATAGTAGTATTCTTCACTGAAGTATGAGAAGAAATACTTCAGTGAGGTATGATTTACTTAATTTTTTTGCATAGCCATTATAACATTCATAATTAGAGCACTATAGTATATACATAATTTATAAATATATAAATATACGTATATTACAAGATCAGCCAAAACTTTTTAACAGGTGAGGTATCAGATCAAAAATGTTTATAGATCACTTTTCTATAACACTAAGACCCAAATGATCTTAGACTCCTAATGTAATGCTATAATGTGTGTAATATAAATTCATGGAACTACAAAGTGTTCTGAGATGCTTATTACACATCTGAAACATTAATTACCTACAAGTGTAAACTTAGCTGAGAAGTACTCTTCTGATATGCAAACACACAATTTATACACACACAACTACTTATAATAATTACATATATGTATTGGTATTCATATTTACATTTGCAAAGCATTTTTCCTCAAAAGAACTTTATTTAAAAATTTCTGAAAAGTAACTCTGAGTGGGAGGAAAAGATAGGAAAAACAAGACTAGGAATTCAACATCAGTTGGGTGCTCCACCCTGCCAGTGCAAACCCAATTTGGGGCTCGAACTCACCAACTGTGAGATCATGACCTGAGTCAAAATTCAGAGTCAGACCCTTAACCAACTGAGCCACCCAGGTGCCCTGGTATTTAATATAATTCTAAACTTTGGGCTTTGGTTTTAAAATGACCATCAAAAGAACATTTATCATTTTAAACATTTAAAAACTATAATTACACTAACTGCTGGGCAAGTTACTGAAATTACAAAAATATATATGACTAAGAAAGTTATATAAAGGATTCTTACCTGCTTGAAATTTGTAACTGCTTTAATAACAGGAGAAGCTGTTACCAGGAGAATATCTTCTGATGGAAAATGAATAGCCAACTTATTTAAAGAAAAAAAAATTGGGAGAAAAAATTTCATAAGTAACTTTAGGTATTAACATATGTGACATGGGGGTGAGATAGGGATAATGCAATTTTAATAATGTTATTATTAACCTAGAAAACTAAAAAGTCACTTTTCCTCATCCAAAGGTCTCCATTATTCTGTGTCTTGTTCCTATTTATGGGGTAGTAGTGACTAACGTTCAACTCTGATACTGATAAAATGTATAATACATTTATAATAAACACTAACAAAAACCTCCTGAATAAGAAAAATGATATTATCCCTTACTATCTTGCATACCAATGTAAAGTAGTCCTTCAGAGAATGAGAAAAAAAAAAATATCTTCCTAATTAACAGTTAAACCAACTTTTATTTCTTTTAAAATAGTATTTTCATTTCCCTTCAGTGGCATGAAATTACAGTAAATCCTTACTCATAAATATTCAGAATCTTAGCCTGACTTTTCCCAAGTGTTTTGGTACTCCTATTCTGCCTCTTCCAAATGCCCAACCAGTGTATACTCTGGAAAAACAAAACCATTTTAGTAGTAGCTTCAACAGTATTTAGAGGCTTAACTTGCTATTTTTTTTCCATCATTCTCCTCTGGCTACAACCTCTCTTTCACTTTAAACTTCTTGAAAGAATTTTCTTAAATCATACTCTGGTTCCTCAACCAATTCTATTTCTCCACCAATTTCTATTTCTTTCCCTACTATACTGTTAAAACTGAGCATGTTCAATCAAAAAAATAAACAAAAGTAAATAAATAAACAACCAAAAATAATATTAGAATGAAAAAACGAATCCAGTAAAACTACAGGATACAAAATTGACATACAGAAAACGTATGTCAAGTTTCTGTATACTAGTAACAATCTATCTGAGAGAGAAATTAAGAAAACAATCTCATTTATAACCACATCAAAAAGAATAAAATACCTAGGAGTAAATTAAACCAAAGAAGTGAAAGACCTGTACTCTGAAAACTATAAGCCACTGATGAAAGAAATTGAGTAAGACGTAAATAAATGGAAAGATCACGCTCATGGATTGGAAGACTTAATATTGTTAAAATATCCATACTACCCAAAGCAATCTACAGATTCAATGCAATGCCCACCAAAATAGCAATGGCATTTTTCACAGAACTGGAACAAAGAATCCTAGAATTTGGATGAAACTGCAAAAGACCCCAAACAGCCAAAGGAGAAAGAAGAACAAGGCTGGAAGTATTATGCTTCCTGATTTCAAACCACACTACAAGGCTGTAGTAATCAAAACAGTGTGGTACTGGCACAAAAACAGACACAAAGATTAATGGTATGGAACACAGAGCCCAGATATAAATCCACACATAGATGATCAATTAATCTATGACAAAGGGGGCAAGAATATACAGCGGGAGTGGGGGAAGTTTCTTCATAAATGATGTTGGGAATATGGGACAGCTTACATGCCAAAGAATGAAACATGACCACTGTTTCATACAAAAATAAAGTCAAAATGGATTAAAGACTTGAATATAAGACTCGAAACCAGGGGCGCCTGGGTGGCGCAGTCGGTTAAGCGTCCGACTTCAGCCAGGTCACGATCTCGCGGTCCGTGAGTTCGAGCCCCGCGTCAGGCTCTGGGCTGATGGCTCAGAGCCTGGAGCCTGTTTCCGATTCTGTGTCTCCCTCTCTCTCTGCCCCTCCCCCGTTCATGCTCTGTCTCTCTCTCTGTCCCAAAAATAAATAAACGTTGAAAAAAAAAAAATTAAAAAAAAAAAAAAAAAAA